TTATTTCGAACCACTACTGAAAATGCTCTTTAAAATGTTAAGAGTTCACTTTCCTTTTTAAGTTAAATGTGGTGTAATAAACTAAAGATCTTAGAGTATTTCATAGCTATAGTAATCATTAATAATGATTACATAGCTCTATAAATGGCACTGGGCATTGGAATGAATCTGTACAGACTGTAGATATCTCTCAGACGTTGGTGGCTTGAAGAGAGCTCTGATGTTACATTTGCTTGTCATTTGTCTTTACGGTAAGACAAGTGTAAAGGAAAAATGTTATTATTAACTGACCTTTTGTACTTATAAACTGTCAAACTTTAGTAACAAACTTATAGCTTGAATTATTTAAGAAACTTTCAACCTCTATAATGAGTTAACACGATATATAGAGACAACTATTTTACAGCTGTCCTTGGGTCAGAAGGGTATAAATATGCAACAAGTCTAATAGGTCAAAATTATGCCTGAGGTCTTCATACAGAACTTGCCATGTCAAATTTCCTATTTCTTAAACTAGCCAGAAACAAAAAACAGCCCACAATGTCCACCCCAATGAAAACTCCTAGTAATGAAAATCAGAAAATAAAACTTGCAATACTTTTTGCCATTTCCTACTTTCTTTTGCCTTTCACAAATAATCCAGTTATAGAGTCACTAAGTAAAATTGCCTGGAGTGCACTGGAGTTAAAAGTCCAGGTAGGGATGCCCGGAAGGGAAAGTAGCATAGAATACCAAATCCCCAAGCTGCAATTCATCTAAGGTCACAGAGAGCATCTGGTCCAACTTCTACCATCCATCTCACGAATACCATCCACAGCATCCAGATAAATGGTCTTCCAGCCTCTGCTTCAATGCTTCTAGTGATGGGAAACTCCTGACTGAAGTCAGCCTATTTCAGCTTTGGACACCAATTGTTTGTGGGGGCTCGATGAAGAGATTGTGTAAATACATGTCTGTTCTAAACTAGAACATTCACATAGCCCCATTTTTCATGCTCACAGGGAATAAGTGGACAGAGTTACTATAAAGCAGAACTTATAGGTAAAAATCACACAAGCATTATCATTGGAATGGAGTCCACATAATAAGACCACTTCTGCAACCAAGTAGGTAGTTCATGAAACAGCAATACGAAAGAGGGTAGTGTTGGCATTAAGAGTTGAGTCACTGACCCGAGTTCAAATCCTGCCTCAAGATAATTATTAGCCATGGAATCAAGGGCAAGTCACTTAGCTTCTAGTATGATTGTTTCTCTGCTGTAAAAATGAGGAGGACAGACTCAAGTGCTTCTAAAGTTCTTTCCAGCTCAGAGTCTATGACCTTATAAACTGCTTATACATGACTGGCTACAATTTATTGCTAATAACTAATACAGCATTTCTTCATTCTCATTCACCTTTTTTAAAGTAAGGTCTTTATATAATATTTACAGAACGATTCTCAGCTGTTTAGGATTTATCACTGGCTCATCTCATCAATGGTCTTCTCAATAACATAGATGAAGATATATAGAAGGTATGCTTATCAAATTTGCAGATGATGTGAAGCTGGGATCAATAGTCAATGTTAGAGAGCAGAATTTAGCACCTGATTTCCAAAAAGATTGGAAAAATGGCCACATCTAACAAGGAAAAAACTAAGGATAAATATCAAGTCTTACACGTCTATTAAGAAAATTAAGTACAGGATGGGAAAAGGTAAGACTCAACAGAAACTAATTTTTTTAAGTGCTTTTTTACTTCACAACAAACTTATCGAGTTAAATAAACTAATGCCATTTCAGGGCACAAAGAGATACAGAGCATCAAGACCAATAGTTTATCTTGTGCTGATTAGGTCATATTTAGAATCTTGGATATGAAAGGGCAACATTAACAAACAAGAGTAAGTCCAACAGACAGCAACCAGGACTTGAAACCATGTCACATGAGAAATTCAAGGGTTTGGGGCAGCTTATCCATAAAGGAAAATGGGGGAGGGGGAGGGAGAGCAAGAGGATGGGAACATGACACTGTATGGACCACAATATAGATGTATTAAAACATATTTTAAGAGCTATCATCAGAAGATTTAGACCTATTCTGTATAATCTTCAAAAACAATTTAGAACAAAGGGTATTAGCTATAAGATTGTAAATCAATATACGGTATAATTTTCTAAAAAGCAAAGATGTCCAAAACTGGAAATAAATGGACCTTTTTGGTACAAAAATCTCCTCTACATTAGACCACTGCATTAGGAAAGAGGCTTAACTAAATGAGGTGCTTTTCGATTCTTAAAATTGCATGTGTTTATGAGTTTACTACCTACTTAGGGAGAAAGATTATTAACAGCTGATACTGCAGATGGAAACAGAGGTCTCTATTAGCAAGTCACACTTTTTGGCCCTTAGTTTACATATGTATGTAAATGAAAGATTTGTGCTAGAATTTCCAAGTTCCCTGGAGCATTAAATTCATGTAATTATAATATCGTTTCATTATAAAAGTTAAACTGGGAAAAGCTCATCAGCTTTGAAAACATTTTCTACCAGCCATTAGCAAATGCTTTTAAACAACCAATACTAAAGAATCGGTAATTTGGAAGAAGAAAGAGATGGGGATAAAGACACAGATACATGACATCTCCCTCTTCACAGGTGTTTTCTTCACTCAAATCACTACCCACTTTGAGGAGCTGAGCAACAGCTATAGCTAATCCTTATGGACTGATTTCTAATGATGTAATCACAACAAAACTACACAGTGATGAAAAAGGAATATGCCCCTGGGATTCGTTAAAATGTATACATTTGCATAAAATACTCTGAAAAGGGTGAACTGGTAAAGTTCTACTTCAATACCTCACTGTGGTCTAAGGGTTACCCGTGGACGTCTCAGAGGCTATCTCAGCCCAGAACACAGATTCTAGCAATCCTTACAGGAAAATGGAAAGGCTTCAAGTATAGGATCAGTGATGGGCTATGTGTTATTTGACCAAAGACTAGCATTGCTAAGATCCAAGAGCCTCATCATTACACTGGCTGCAAACTGATGCTTTTTCAGCTGCAAGATACTACTGAGGAAAACATTTTTAAGTCACAGAAAGGTCATAATGTCAGGAGAAGTACTCACAAGGACAGAATCACAGATGTCTGAAGTATTGAGTAAAAAATGGAACGCAGCACTGATTGTAGCCTAACACATAATCTGGCTGACTCCTCGGACTCCTCTTTACTTTAGTAATGAGGAAACCAAGAGCCAGGAAAATAAAGGTGACATATCCCTGGTCAAATGGATAATTAGTGACTGAGTCAGGCCTCAAACCTGTCATTAGTGTTCTTTCCATATAACACTGTCTCTAGTTAACAAAGGTAATCAGAAGTCTAATTCAGCACTTAAATCAGAAGCAAGAGTAAGGAGAAGGAGGGTGACTGTTTCTCATTTCAGTGCAACATCAACCATTCCCTCTGGTATTACAAAATAGAATTCCAGATATATCAGAAAAAGCAGGCTGCAAAACTCAGAATAGAACACGTGTTCCAAAAGTTTAAAAAAAGAAACCCTTGAGAATAAAGAAAAATCCAACATGTGAAAATGCTAGGATTTAACTTTTAGGTAATTAACAATGACATCCCCCCCAAAATCCATGCATGTCAACCTCCTATTCAGTCCTAGAGCCTGCAGTATTGTAATTTATTGTGAAACCAGAAAACCAAATACTTAAATATATCCACAACATCTACACCTTGATAATGCATAGTACATAATATACTAACATCTCTAAATAAATTTCTAATTACACTTCTATGCAAATTGCTATAAGAATATCAACTGCCACATATAGAAACGGCAGAAACTTCATAAAAGATTCCATTTCAAAGAATTAGCCCGCATCCTTAATAATAGCAATGTGTTGTGCATTATCAGAAAATCCCAAATCAGAGCATGGAGCTGACAATTAATCACTACAATGTGCAGTTAATTAATACTACTGCATATGCAGATGTGTAAAGCAGTTAGGTTACACAGCAGGGAAAACAATCTTAATTCACAGTTTCAAAAACAAAGGGTGCAGTTTTCAAATATCTTTGCTTCCCATTAAAATTGGCCATTTAGGGAACCTAATGGCTGCCTCTTTCAGTACATGTGAACTACTATAATTGAACAGCATTAGGAGATGCCATTTATTTCCAGAAGTCACCTTTTTGTTACACAAGCGCCATACATTTCTAGGAAGAGGCTACAGTGTGAAATGAAGATTGCTTAAGTATGTGTTGAAAATTAGTCAACTAAGGAGTTACTGCCCAAGATTCCCCCACCCCCCACCCCGCCCCAGAACAAGTCCTACATTCAGGAAAAGCAACTAATGTTTACCAAATATAGTTCACACTCCATAAAGGAGGAAAAAAAACACAAACCTTATTAGCTAACAAAAGTCCTGGTAACTTGATACAAAATTACCTTAAAATAAAATTTTTAAAGTTCATGCCATAAAACTTCATAACAATATATATAGAGAGACCCAAAAGGATGCAGAATATGGCTCATGAACTTCTAGGTGGGGAAAATAAACAAAATGGATTATGAGAAAACCTGAATACTTAAATAATTAAATTTAAAACAAGAAAGTAAACTTAGTATTAATAGAAAAAAGGTGGCAAAAGATTAAGGGAGTAAGAACTTGATTTGTTGTAAAATCTGAAATTTCTCTCAAACTGACATTAAGAAAACCAATGTAATCCCCTCTCCAGAAATGTTTTCTGTGCAAAAATAAATATCTGAAAATTGCACTGATACAATACTTATTTAACTTGTACTATGAATAAACTGCACATGCTGCTTTACAGACAATATATATTTGTAAACTTGCTCATGCAAAATTAGTGTGTACAACAGGGGTATTATTTGCTAATCCCCACACTTAAAAAAAAAAAAAGATAGATACCTTCTTTTTGTCTGTTTTTCTAAAATGCCAAAACCCTCTGCGGTATAATAAATCTTACACAGAAATTCTTATCTGCCAGCCAAAAGAAATAAATTTATATTGTTGAAACAAAAACAATAAAAGTTATACAAAAACATGGTATGTGTCTTGAGGCTTTTCTGATTTTGTTTTAAAACAGTAAAAGAAGGAATTATAAAAGAAAGAAAATTCATGGTCACAAAATTTTAACATTTTAATCCTAAACATTACAGGGCAAAATGGATACTGGAACCTAATTCCATACTCCATAAATTCTAACTTTATTTCCATTGAAATGTGGCTCAAACCACTAAAACATTAGTAGTTTTACAACCTTTGGATTATGGAAATACATATTTTTGAAATAAAAGCTACAAAAGCAACAATGGAAGAAAGCCAAACTGTCTCCATGAAAGAAAACAAAAGTGGAACATTATGAAGTTTCAGATACTTCTCTTTCCATTTTTATGGTTAACCTGTCAATTCAGTGCATTGTTCAATGTAACGGTCCCCATGGTGAACAAACATTTAACTAGTGTCCATTGATTCCAAGTTAGCAGATGATGAATCTTTCTGGATACTTTCAAAGATGGCTGCCAGCTCCGGATTAGAGCTGATTTGTGACTGGAATTCGCTCATTAGCGGACTCTTCTCCGCTTCTGGAATGGTTAGGAGCGCTGCTACAGCCCTCATGGCAGATCGCTTTAGCTCATCTTGTTTTTCAAACTCCTGCTTCACTGAGTTTGCCTTTACCTACAACAGAGAGCAAAGGGAAGAAATTAAACACATCAATTTCTTCAGATTCATTATCTCGAGATATTTTTTGGATGGTTTATAAAGTTCCAGACAATAATCTAGCCTACAAGATGTGCAACCTCTAAGTCCAAGCTTTACCATCTGCCACCCAATTCTGCACTGTCTCAGTCCTGTTACCTGACCTATACTACCTGATGCTGCCCAAGGGCTCCAGCCTTTGCTCTGCCCCCTCCAGACAAACTTTCTTTCACATACTATCTCCTCTAATTAGAGGATAAGTTCCCTGAGAGCAAGGAGTTTGTCCCTTTTTCTTTTCTTTTTTTTTTTTTGACCCCCAGTGCTTGGCATAGTGCATGGTACACAATGAATACCAAATAAATGCTTTTTCATTCATTCACTCATTTAATTAGACAAAACATTTTGAGATTCAACTTGATAAAGAAATCTGAAATCTGTTCTAATAATTAGATATTCCTACTTTCAATAAATTTGGATGATTAGAAAGCCTATAAGTATCATCAAGTTCAACTGAAGTCAGCTCTCCGAAATATTTACCTTAGTTGTACATGTGGCACGTAATGGCTCAACAAGTCGGTCCAATCTCTGCAGTACTGCACTTGGACAAAGGGTAGATAGTCTTACCAACATTAAAAATGTAAGCATCTATTAGGAACAAAAATAGACAAAAGTTTAGTTTAGTACAATTTTCTGAATTGGGGCTGCATTATAAGGAAGTTCTAGATGGTCCTGTTAGAAATGACTAGACATTAAGTACAATCCTTAGTCAATACTATAACCATCCTTCTTCTTGGGCTTTTAGTTGGTATAAGATAGGAACAGGAAAATATGCAGGTCATGGTGCCCAAAACTCCCCCCCCCTTTTTTTTGAGGGTCTCAATTTATTAAAATCCTCACAGGTCACTGTCCATAAGAGGATTTCCCTTTTCTATTGTCACTGTGAGAGGCAAATAATTGCAGCTAACTATATACTACTTCTTGCCCAGTTAGGCAAAAGGCCCTAACTGAAGGTAACAAATAAGAGACATGCAACCCCACTTTACTAATAATTTGATTCTAGAACCTAGCTTTATTGTCAATTTTGCAACCCATGGCTAAAAATCACTCAATTTTCTCAAACTATTGTCCATGTGGGTTGGGAATCATTGCCATTAAAACTAAATTTTTTTCACCAGAGGTTGTATTAAAGTAGACAAAAAGAATGCTCTTAAACTAAGCACCTTAATTATGGATGAAAGACAGTCATTTTCTTTTCTTTTCCTAAATTAAACATTCCTCAATTAGTTTTTTTAAGCAATTACCAAGATTTTAAGTCACATAACAGTGAAACAGACAAATTCTGATAATTTTTAATACTGCTTAGAGATATATCTGCAAAACTGTCCAACTCTTTCACAAAGATGAGAATCATCCAAAAGCTGTAATATTTTAGGACATCTTCAAAATCACATCTAATGAAAATAGCCAATATTTCTGATATCAACACTTGAGGAGTACCTATTATGTACATGGAACTCTATGTTAAAAAAATCTGGGCCTTTAAAGACTTTACATTTTAGATGGGAAATTAGGACACATACATGAAATTAACCACTAACACAAGGTAGCAGGTAAAGTGCCAAATGAATGGAGTGATACAGCCAATAGTACTTAGTTGGTTGTCCTTCATCCATGAAAAGAACGAAAGAGACATCACTATGCCGGGGTCAAGGTTTGGTGTGTCTGTGTCTGATCAGAACAACATGAACTCAGAAGGCTCTAGCTCACGTCAGCCACAAATAGTCCATATGAACATTTGGAGTGGATGTCTCTAAATTTGTCCAACTCACGTGTCTTTTGAACTACTGCAATTCTACTTCGCTCATGGAGCTCAGAGCCTTCTTTGATGTGAACACACCATGCTGGGTGGTCCTGTGCCAGCTTCTCCCATTTCCCAACTGATTCCAAAGTTCACAATCATCTGTGAACATCTCTCCACTTCAGTCTTGGCTTGTAGCTTTTTCAAGTTAAATAATTTACTGTCACTGCTGTAGCTGGCCTTGATGCCATTTCAATCTCACTGAAGGTGTCCAACAACATCACTGAAAATATTATTCTAAAAAGCATGGCAGCATGAAAAAGTTTTTGTACATTTTTTGTGTTCTGACCACAGAGTGGGATCCCTGCCTGCTGCGGCAAACAGGCCAGGCTTGGGTGAAACATTCAACTTTTTCATTCATCTTTTCTAGCTCCTTCCTCATGCCAGGAGGTAAGCAATGTAGTCCTTAAAGAAAGGCTGCTCAGACACTCAGGGGACTGCCAAATCCACTGCTGTTTTTGGCCAGTAAGAAGATGACTCTGTGGTCCAGGCCGCCTGCACGCAGAGCTGTGACTACAGCTCTCAGTGTATCCACACCTGCTGCTTTGCCACTCGCTTGTCCCCACAGGACTTTGAAGTCGATAAAAATGGTATGGGTGATGTCTTCTGACTCACGTACAAATTGTATTTAAGTGAAGCAGAGTTAAACGAAGTCATCAGCCTCACTTTCTCTTCCAGTCATTGGAGTCCAGGGGCAAGACAACAATCAAGACGACCAATGATGGCCTGGGATGCAGCGAATGACCTTGGCATCTTTGATGTCTGACCAATCTCCAAACACTCCACAGTGCCTTCTTTGGCCATCAGAACAAAATGTTCTCATCCACCCATTCCACCATTGGAAGTCTTTATATGTTTGGGTTAAGCACCCAGCTAACTCATCGATGGGTCTGAGGTCCCTCACTTGCCCTTACCCTGCTTTAGCCCATCTGCTGAAATGGTTTGCCAGAATGTGGCCCCTGTACATGCTATAGCTTCTTGGAGTCACAGGTGAGAGCTGAGTGAATCAAGTGGACACCAAAGGAGGAAAGCAGTCCTGAAAAAGGCTTGGCAGCCCTTAGACCAGAGATACTAGTATTTGCTGAACCTCCATACACCCCAACCAATACTATTATACTAATTCAGAACAGAAGAGATCACTGTGAAGTGCAATGATGGGGGAAATTTGCTCCACAAAGACTATGACAAATGTCCATACTCGGAGAGAAAATGTCATCAGTAAATTAACACTGTGATACCTTGGCACAGAGCTATTTCTGGCCCAGTACAACTCATGGAACCTTACTCCCTTCTACAATAATCTCTTCTATAATGTACACAAACAGCAATAGTCTGCTTTTTCTAAAACACAACTAACAGTCATTTGTCTGGGTCATTATTACATATGCTAACTATAAACAGTATACTATGACTACATATGCAAGATTATTAATGCTTATAGTAACTGTAACCAGTAATTCTACTTTTCCATTAAATTACTAACAAATACTTTAAGTCATTTTAGTACTTCTCAAAGACTTTCTGCAAGACATTTTATAAGGACACATAAATATCTCACCTTAATATCATAATGGTCCTTCAAACCATCTTCAACGTGGTTTAAGAATTCAAAGATATCTAATCTATCAAGACAACTGTCTAGAAGTGTATACATACACTCAAAAGCTGCCTTTCTTATATCCAGTCCATCATCAACAGTATGCTTAAATGGTCCCATTTCTACCTGTTAATAAGACAGAAAATTTGAGTACATATGTGAGTGCTCACACAGTAAACTTAAACAAGCTTATTTAAGCATTATTTAATTTAACTTACCTCTCTTATAAGTTCCTTTCTAACTTTTGTCTCATTGTAAAGATGTGGAAGAACAGTATCTAAAAGATCTCTTATTAAGGATGGTTTGTTATGTGCTGCTGAATTAAATGTTACCAGTGCTACTCGTCTTACATTCAAATCCGGGTCTTCTAAAGTTTTTAAGAAGTCACCTATAAGTAATGAAAGAAGCTACTTAAAAATCAAAACAGAATGAAAACTTTACAACTTATTTCATATTTCTAAACGTGTTTCCTTTGATCATTACTCTTCCCAAACTTTTTTATCTAAGAGGAGGCTGTCATGAAACTCTAAGTTCTAAAATGGGGAGAGAAAATGAATGAAAGAGGGAGAAGGAAGTGAGGGGGAAAGGGTAGATAATAAATTGGGAATTTCAGAAATTCCTTTATCCCTGTGTAGAAGCTGAATAACTCCCTATTAGGTGGCTTCACTCTACAAATGTGCAGTGGATTCCCTTGATGCTCTCCAACAGAAATCACCCTAACGGTCCAAGGACATTCAGTATCACTTCTCTACACCTCCCTTCACAGATGCACAGAAAAATAAATGTTGGAGTCAAAAAGCAGAGTCTACAAACTTGAGAACAATGATCTTCCCACCGCCATTTAGCATAAACTAGGGTCTAGAAAAGACCATGGAAGAACATCCCCTTTCTTAGTAAAGGAGTATAGACTGGGGCAGCTAAGTGGCACAGCTGATAGTGCTCCAGTCTTGGAGTCAGGAGAACCCGAGTTCAAATCCAGCCTTAGACACTTGTACTTACTAGCTCTATAATCCTGGGCAAGTCACTTAACCCCAACTGCCTCACCAAAAAGGAAAATAAAAAAAAGAGTATGGACTATAGTTACAGAAATACTTTACTGGTCAGTTCTGCTTCACTACTTTTCTTTGTCACAATAGCAAATGACATATAAAACAACAAACAGCACCAATTTTAAAAAGATTAAGAAAGGACAGGAAATGCTAAGGTGGTAAATCAACTGGATTAATCATTAAAAGCATGAAATCAAGAAAAGATATTAATTAGTTCTTGAATTGTTTCTCCAGAAGATTCTCTTCTAACAAAAGAAAAAGAAACAAGAACCACAGTATTTGTCAGTATTTTATACAGTACATACAGTATTCTGAAACAACCATTTAAAGAAACATTATTTTAGAGCTGAAAGACCTTAGTCTTTTAGATGAATCCAGTTCCATTAAGAAACTTAAGTCCAGAAATTTATGTGTCTTGCCCAAGGCTATACATCTAGTTAATATCAGAGCTGGGTTTAGAACCCAGACCTCTTATTATATAATTAAAGAGCCTGTACTATTCAATATACCAAGTGTAATATCAAGTCTGTGTCTTTCAGAGCACAGGCACACTACAAAGCATTTACTAAATTATTGTTTCTGGTACAGTCTGTATCCTAAGAGAATTCATTCATCTCTAAAGAGTAACTGTAATTTACTCCATAAATAATTAAAGCCTTTTTTTCAACAGATAAACAATAGAAGAATCTTATTTTTTCTTATTTCCTCTTCAACTCCATTAAAATCTGGCATTTGGTGATGAGTGGCTAGAAGAAAATTTTAAGTTTATAGGTTTAATTTTAGACCCATTACGCTATAAATCGTATGGACTCCAAAACTGGATGTTGGAAGTTAATTAAACGAGAGTTCTAATCCCAACTCTGATACTACTTGTATAACCTTGGACAAGATATCAAGTCCAAATATTTCCAAAAACCAAGAGAGATAATCAGAGAGATAATCTTTGTCCATACTTACCTATGCAATTCTTTAGTAGTGGATCTATGGGCTGTGGATGGTCAGAAATAGTAAACTTCACAGCCGTAACCACTGAACTTCGGGCATAAGATGAGCCTGATAAAGAACAATAATTTATCCATAATTATTTTCAAGTTGACAGAGTCAACCAAACTTTTTACTTCTTTAATTTATATTCAATGTAGAATGGCATTTTTATTTTACTATTGTTAGCACAGTGAAGACTCAAAGTTTATGGACTACTTTATAACACGGAAAATGTACTTTGACTTTATATTCTACAACAGGACAACTTTGTCCAATTAAAAAATTAAAAAGTAACTATTTCCATAATCATTAAATAAAACTAAACCGGGGGGGAAACAAATCAGAAAAAAAAAAACAAAACACTTGCTTGGCTTAGAAACCTTAAAGTTTATTTTAAAAGAAAAAAAATTCAATGATATTAGTATAATAGTTCAGACACATTCTAAGTATTTCTATATTGATCTAAATCCAAAGATTTCAAAGTAATCAAGAGCATCATCACCTATATGAATTTTTACTTGTCTAAATGGTTGAGATACTCAAGTGAATCTGAGGGACCACAGCAAATGATACTCGTTTCAGAGAAGAACACTTTATGTAGGCTGTTAGGACTAACCATATGTACTTAATAGCATTAAAAAGTAGCATAGTATACATTCCTAATCCAAATGGATGACTAATATTGTCCACACTTATGTTCTTCAAAAGTAGAGAAAATGGCATTAAAGTGGAGTATTTGCTACTAAACAAAGTAAGTATTTCTTATGTATTAAATAGAAACAAACCTAGCAATCATCTGACTAAATACTATATATCTTTTGGTAGTAACAGAAATCAGAAATGTGGGTGACTTCATGAATTAAAATTCTATTTCATTGAATAAGTCTCTTACTGCTTCCCAGTATCTAGGCCTCACATGTGCCAAGATCTTTTTTTTATACTTAATTACAATATTTCACATATAGAATAATTAAAGACTACCCACAGCAAAATACATATCCCTTTGATTCAGAAAGCTTATATACCAACCTGATACTAAGTACCCTTTAAGTCGTGGAAGCAGAGTTTCTGGATCAATTAAGGTGAGTTTGCCCAAGCATTCGGCAACAACATTCCTGGTTCCTTCTTCTGCACACTCACAGTGCTTCAGCAGTAAGGTCCAGATGTTTTCAACATATGGTTTAAGGCCTACCACTGACGCAGAGCTAATAATTTCCTTCAAGGAATGAAGTAGAAGATACTGCCTCTTAGGCTGACTGGTTATTTCTTGCAAGACAAACGGCAGATATTCAGGAAGATTGCCAACACTAATGCTACCTAATGCATAGGATGCTGCTGATTTGACTTCTTCACTAGGAGATGAGAAGGCTTCTAATATTACAGATTTAAGTTCAAGTTGCCCACTTAAGTCAATGTGATGTCCAACTTCCCCAAGGGAAAGTAGAGCTAGGAGACGAATGGAATCAGTAGACCTTGAGTTCTTGACATCTTGAATAAATTGCCCTACTACAGCTGGTCCCTCTTTAGGGCATGCTCGAGTAAGGGCAGCTACACATTTGGCAATGGAATAATAAGACTGCTTGTGAGTAAGTGCTGTGCTCTGAGCATAAACTGGGCCTGTCAACATGCGTAACAAATCCATGTACCCTAAATTATTTGTTCCAGTTACAACCAAAGCTTGGAAAAATTCTAACATGGCGCTGAGTGCTCCTCCCTGCAGCAAAGGTGATCTCACAAGCCCGATAAGTTCATTGAGTATGGACCCGCTTATCTTTGAAAGGGAGGAGGGGTACACTTTAGCAAGTGTAGTCAGAAAGCTGATAGCCATCTGTGATACATGCATATCACTTTCACTGATAAGAGGTGGAAGCTCATCCAAAACAGCATCAATCATGGCAGCTGTCAAGCTGTCGCTGTAATTTTTAATTAGGATGTCTAGAGCTGAAAGGGTACCCAGTTTCAAAGCTCGCTGGTTTTTCCTAAGAAAAGAAGCAAGAATAGGTACCCCTTCTCCTAGAACAGGTCGTAAATCTATCTTCAAGGGGGACCCGGCAATCAGTGTTAAAGCCTTCACTGTAGTTAACCGGGTAATTTCATTCTTTAGTCTCTCCAAGAAAATCTGAAGTGTACTAGGCAGATCACTACCTAGATTGTCTCCAAGGCTGCAAATGATTTGTCCCATACAGGAGATAGCCCTCTCTTTGACTTCCTGATCAATGTCAGCTGCTTTTAATCGTTTGATGGTACAGGTAAATAAATCTTTGATGTAGGGAGTTGCATCAAACGAAGAAGGTTGATCTAAAGGACGAATAACTTTGACAAGCTGCTGGGTAACAAGAAGTGCCTCAGATGTGATCTTGTAGAATGGATCACCAACACAAGCCACCACTGGAGGCACCAATGCCTGAACATGAGGATGGAAGACTTGAGGAGAGTGGTTACAGAGGATTACATACAGGCATGACAAAGCATCTATCTTCAGATTAGATGAGCTGGATTTGTCATTCAGTGAGAAAATTATTCCTAAAATGTTAACAAAGAAAACCCAGAATCATTATAATGCATTTTGGTGGGGGGGGGGGGGATGCCCCCAAAGGTAATGGAATTGTTCAAATTATCGAATAATTGAATTGTTCAAATTTCTTCCAAAATTCTTCCCTAGTTATATTTTGTACAAACATCTACAAAAACAAAAGATAAAAATAAAAATTAAGTTCTTTCCACTTCAGTTATCTGTCAATCCAATTTTTCTTAAAAACAAATTACTGTGTTCAGAACAATCAGTTAAGAAACCGAAGTTACAAATGTAATTTAGAGTTACAACTGTTTTCACTTTTCATTTTGGAGGAAATATTTTAAAACTCAAGATAACAAATCTGTAATAAAAATCATCACAACTTCTAACAGCAATTCTTTGTTACTTTTCCTACCTGGTACAAGTACAGGAATGTGCTGTGTGAGTGCCCCAGGTAATACATTTACCAGCTCGGTTAACATGTTAAAACAACACTGTCGAGTCTTCACACTTTTCTCCTTCATCTGTTTGTGAAGAGCTTTAACAATGTTGGGAACCTGTAATTATCAAAAACCTCCATTAGCCGGTTTAGTCATTGGGATTTCCTCAGTGTAATTATCACAAATTACTAGGGAAAGGGCAAATGTGCAGGCCGGAATGCATCTTTTATTTTTTTCTTCAGTTAAAACTCTTTCACCATGGATCTCCAACTCATTTCTTCACTACAAAAATTTTAGAGGAAGAGCTTCACGTTTCATAGTCACATTTAGCATTTTAAAAAAATATTAGCATTGGCTAGTTTTATGTGAAAGTAATTTTGCCTATGTTAAAATTATAGGCTAATTTATTTCTGTATAAAAAAAGTCTCTTGGTACTAATCAACTTAGAAATCTAAGAAATGTACTGTTTAATCTCTCAAGATTATCAAAGCTGCTATATAGTGAATAATTTTTAAATGATTCAAAGGAACACAAGAAACATGTTTAAAAGAACACTGACCTTATTTTAACTGGAGAATGCTCTAGCAGAATATTGTGAATAATAGTGGTACTGACATATATAGTTAAAGAAAGGCTATTTCTGGTCACCCTGTAGTTTTTCTAAAGGTTGCACACAAATCTTTCCCTTCAGCTCTGCCTTGTAAGTATTGTGCCAAGGAAATAAAAACCACTTATTCAAACACAAACACACACACACACACACACACACACACACACACACACCCCTCTCTCTCTCTCTCTCTCTCTCTCTCTCTCTCTCTCTCTCTCTCTCTCAATCCTAAATGCTAACTGATGAAATCCACTCTGAGAATACTTGTCATCAAGTTCTTAGCTTAAAGATACCAGCCAGCTATCCAAAACAGGATCTATTAACAAATATTCACTGTGAAAGCTAGGTAACTAAGTTTCTAAAAACTCCTTAAAAACAGTAATACAAAAGCATCAGGCAAATAAATGCACAATAGCAAGACAAAGATGAGAAAAAGGAAACTTTCCCCAGTTCTCTGAAGAACCATCAGTATTTACTTCAGATTTCAAGAGGAAAATATAGTTATATCTATATCCCCTAAAGGTAGCAGGCATTGCACCGTAGATAGCACACTTGACCTGGATTCAGAAATCTTGGGTTTAGATCCTGCCTCTGTGTGATATTGGTTAAGTCATAATCATTACCTAATGATACGTAACTCAGGGAACTCCCTAGGACTTATCTTCTAAGCCATTAAGGATGCAACACTGGAAGTGAAAGTTTCCACACCTCAATTCTATGTGTACCATCAGATGTATCACATCACTTTAATTTGGAACACTTTGTTTGCGTGGTATATTTTTCAAAGAGTTTCCAATGTTAGAAGCTTTATGCACACTACAAAAAATATATAATTTTTAAACTATATGGGCAATGCTAGGAACTCCATGGTGGAAATGTAATGCAAAATCCTAAGTTATAATAGTCAACTGAAATTTAAACAGGAAGATTAAAACTATTATTGACCACTTAAGCTTTATTCTTCTGCATTAATCAATAAGTAGGTAATAAACCGACATATTCTAAATCCACATTATTACATTCTGTAAAATGTTTCTGATGTGGCCACATGGCAAAGAACATTCATATTATGATCATTATGAAACAGAGAACTTGATTTACAATCAAATAAAGATTTTCTATAACATTAGTAAACAACAGCTTTTCTGGCCAACTTAAGTTTGTGTGTATGTAAGCACGATAAATAAATAATAAATAATGAACATTTAATGACCATCAGGAAGCCTTTCCTAAAACTTAACTTTTTAACCAACCTGACTCTGAAGCATTGTCAAAGGCGTCTCTCCTTGTTCCATTGCATCAGGATCACAAAGCCAATTCTGCACAGGACGAGTTTGCTTCAAAAGGGAAAGATATGCATGGAACACATCTGCTTTTACGTTCTCTTCACGTTCTTTAAATCTGGCTATCAAGGCTGGAGACACAGTCTTGTAGAATTCTGGAAGCATTTCATGTCGTGTGCTAACTACAGCATCTAAACATTTAGCTCCTGCACGTCTCACTTTCCAACTCATGTCATCATCATCACTGTATTCATCATCGCTCCCTAAAGATAAAATTTTTAAGAATAGATTAAGAAAAATATACAAATTTTAGTAGTGAAAATGAATTGAGATTCTTCACAACGGAAGCAGATATTTTAAGTTGCCATTAACTTATCCAGCAATTATAAAATAAAACCTAGCTAAATAACCATACATAACTATAATGCAATACCTAAGTAAACCTACTTCTTAAATCTACTGCTATAGAACATGACTACAGAAATCACATTTTTTCTAACAATGTTAGATGTATTAATTTAATATTCATCCCCCTAATGTTTTAAGGAAATTTATATGGAAATCATTCTGAGACCACATTCTTACTTCTCTGTCTTATTAAGCAGTATATGAAATCCCCCTAGCACTAGCTCACTTTGTGGTCACTTGCCTTTTGTATGAAATCTACAGATCCCTCCATAAATATACTGCCATCACCTAAGTTCAGTACTTTATCCTTCTGGACCACTGTAATACTTTTCCTTAAATAGCCTCCCCTCTTTAATCCACCCTTCACAGAGATGCTTTAACCATGCCACTTCTCTCCTAAAAATCCTTTCATGGAAAATATATTCCATTGTTTGGAATTTAGGGCCAGACTCCAACCTCCAGGTCATAGACTTTCTGCATTCTAATCAGACCACATCTGGAATATCGTATTCAGTTCTGGAACCCATAGTGTTAAAAAAAAAAAAAGACGTTGATAAGTTGAAGAGTAGGGAACACAGAGGAGCGAGCAATGGGTTTGCAACCAAAAGAAGTGAAATTCATATCCTTCCTCAGAAGCTAATTGGCTATGTGACCCTGGATAATAAAATTTGTTTGCTGTTGAGTGGTTTCAGACGTGTCTGACTCTTCATAACCCCATTTTGAGGTTTTCTTAGCAAAGATACTACAGTGATTGGCCATTTCCTTCTCCAGTTCATTTTACAGATAAGGAAAATGAGGCAAACAGGGTTAAGTGACTTACCTAGGATCATCACACAGTTAATAAGTGTCTGATGCCAAATCTGAACTCAAGTCTTCAAGACTCTAAACCCGGTCCTCTATTTATTATGTCACCTAGCTGTCCCATGGAACTAGCACTTATTAAGTGAAAATAAACTGAGATTTGTGCCAAGCACTGTACAAAGCACTTTCCAATTATCCCTTTCTTTCTCACAATCACCCTAGGAGAGAAGGTGCTATTATCCCCATTTTATAGATGAGGAGCTTGAGTCAAACAGAAGTTAAGCAACTTGACCAGGGTCACACAGCTAGGAGTGATGGAGGCTGGATTTGAACTTGGTTCTTCCTGCCTCCCCAACCTTCTACCCATTCTGCAAGTCATTTGATCTCTCTGGGTCTTAGCTCCATCTGTAAAATTAAGGCACAGGAGTCAGTAGTCTCTAAAATCTCTTTCAGCTTTAAATCTATGATCCTGTATTTGGCCTGGAGAAAAGGAGATTCAATAGGGAAAAATAGGAGCAACTGGGGAAGAGGGACTGGGCTTATTCTGTTTGGTCTCAGTGGGTAGATGCTTCAAAGAAGAAAACTTAAGTTTTAATGTCAGGAAAAAACATTCTACCATTGAGAGTTATTCAAAGGGAGAAAGGCCACAATGATGGCCCATCCTAATGGTACTTGGTTCTACCTTACTAAAGGACAGATAGGCTAGCTGACCGCTTGTCACCAATACTATAGTAGCAATTCCTTTTAAATAAAGGTTGGACTAGACTGCTGCTGGGGTCCCTTTCGATTCTCAAATCCCATGCTTCCTTTTCTGGACTAATATTTTGTATCACTCTTTTTCATGAATTTTACATTTAAAACATACTCAACAGCTGGCTGTTCCCTGAACTCAATAAAGAATCACAAGATTTGGGACTCAAACACACCTTGCCTAAGGTCATTTAGTCCAATCCCTCCCATGATTTTAAGTGAATGTCTTTGGTTTTTCATACAGCAATAATTTTCTGATCAAACTGTCCCCACCCAAAGCCAAACACATGCCCCAATAAACCGTTCTTTGTAACAAAGAAAAATCATTCTGATTGCTTCTGCAGACAACATTCAGCACTTATGCGTGCTATAAGCTGTAGAGACTTAATACTTAACTTTCAGAAGCTAGAGGATTATGTTTCAAATTTTATATTACAGAATAAAACTACTGCCATATATGTCTATCATACACCGACATTTGTTTTAAAGATCTTTTCCATCATTTTGTTGCTGGCTTGTTCTCATTCCCCTGTCTTGCCCTCTTCTTCCTCTTAACTTTAATCTTTTATTTTCCTTTTAAATTTTACTGTTGCCTTTTTTTTTTGATATCCCTACTATCACTGAACCTTTCTCTGTAATGGAAAAAAAAAAAACACAAGCAGGCAAAAGCCAACAGATACCAATCACCTGTGACAGCATACGCTGCATTCCATATCCAGCCCCCACCTCTGGGGAAGGTATGTTTCTCTGGCAGTTCTCCAGGACTACTGAGCAGCTGACAACACAGAGTTCAGCTGTTTCTTTGTGTTCTTGTTTATGTCACAGTACTCTCTGTGTACCATGTTTAGTTCTGCTTTCTTCATACCATAGCACTTCGTCACCTGAGGCTTGCTAGGTTTTTCTACATTCTCTGTATCTGCTGTTTCTCACAATGCAATAATAATCTATTTTACTCATATACTACAATTTGTCAAGCTATTCTTTAATAGGCTTTCCACCCTTATTTTTCTACCACAAAGAATGTTACATGACAGAGACAGAGAGAGAGAGAGAGAGAGAGAGAGAGAGAGTGTGTGGTGTGTGTGTGTGTGTGTGTGTGTGTGTGTGTGTGTGTGTGTGTGTGTGATGGCCTCCTTTAGCAGTCTGATGTATGGAATCCTTCTCAGAATGTTTTTAAAAGCTGGTAATGTTTTAAAATCATGGTTCTGCCAAACTACTTCACTGGCAGTTCCTAATGAATAAAGAGTCCATCCTCAAGTAATTTCAACATCATCCAGTAGAGTGGTCCCTAAGGGTTCTTCAGGTTGTCTAACACTGAACTGCTCTGCTGCCAGAGTTTTATTTATCTAGGCAATCCCACTTTTTTATTTTGAAACCAATACTATTAGAAGGTACAAAATCTTCAATTACTGCAAAGTCTTTCAATGTTTCTTCACTGCAAATAACGCTAATTTTGTTTTAGACATGTAAACAGTCTTTGTAGAAAAGTTAAATTTATGCTATTTGTCATAATACAGAAGGCCTCTCCATGTCTGAGTTTTTTCAGATTATATAAATACGATTGCCTGATTATTCATCTGTCTCTCTTCCTTCAGTTTTATAGCCAGTGCTGATTTTTTTATCCTTCTAAACTGGAAAACTGGTCAAATTCATGACATAATATACAATCTCTAGGTCTAGCTATTTCCAACATTGTTCACTGCTCAAGGACCCTTTCTTCACTACATTCTTCTTAAAAGCTTAGGTTGACTCTTGTTTCAGATGTTTTCAGAAAGCTGCCCTAGTTCTAGATAGAACCAACCACCTCCTATCCCTTCAGAATTGAACTATACCTTTCTAAATCAGAAAGATAAAACACTTAATATGTTCATCTGAACATGCACATAACATGTACGTAAGCTATATACATTGAACATAAGCTTTTAACTAGAGGTAATATTTGATTACAGCTAATTTTTTTCTTTTACCTTTATGAAATTTGGAAAGCATGACAATCCCAATTTAGCAAATGATAAACATCTACTTACTTTTTGCATCTTGAAACTCATTTTATTATATTTTGTCTACTACCCTCCAGTATTCATGTACTTAGGAAATTATGGTCAATTTTGTTTTAAAATGACTTTATTAAGTATCTAAAGCACAGATGAGGCTGATGTTTTGTTCGTGTCAACAAATACTTCTAAAACAATTTGTACTCTTTTTGAACTTTATTTTTCTTGGAGTTTTTGTGGGTGCTTTCTTTTGCAACACTGCTAAAATGGAAATGTATTTTGCATGACTTCACATATACAATTATTATCATATTGCTTACCTTCTGAAAGGGTGGCGACCAGGAGGGAGAGTATTTGGAACTCAAAATTTTTTAAAATGATGTTAAAAATTATTTTTTACATTTAATTGGGAAATATTTAGCAAAAAAAATACATTTAAAAAACATACATGCTCCCTATCCGAAAGTTATAATCCATGAAATTTATTCACAAAAGTTTTATCTGAAGCTTACTTTTTCTTTTTTTTTTGTGAGGCAGCTGGGGTTAAGTGACCTGCCCAGAGTCACACAGCTAGTGAGTGTTATGTACCTGAGACTGGATTTGAACTCAGGTCCCCCTGACTCCAGTGCCAGTACTCTATCCGCTGCACCAACTAGCTGCCCTGCTAGTTTTATGCCCTGTATTTGCCTATAGTACTTATTTTTCTTTACATACACGTATTGTTGTTCAGTTGTGTCCAACTCGTCTCCACTGTCCCTGGAGTTTTCTTGGCAAGGATACTGGAGTGGTTTGCCATTTCCTTCTTCAGTACATACATGTGGGGCTTTACAATTCTCATCTCAAAGGATGACTTACACATTTTGGCTTTCTACTATCATCTGAATAAATCAACATGACTGCAAGAATTTAATGTGTACATGTAAATATTTGTTTTTAAACTCAGTGCCAAGGTAATTTTCCTCATCCTTGTCATGGAGGAAAACAAAATTAAAAAGAAGAAGAAAACTTACTACTAAGGATTGGATTCAATACATATTACAATTCTGCTAAGACAGGAGAGTGAAAAATTATTTGTGAACTCTTGCCAGCCTTTGGAATAGTCAGCTCTATAGATAAAGAAGTCTGATCTTTTAATACAAACGTACAGATCTGACCAAGCCCCACAGAACTAAACTGCATAGTTCAAAATTAAAGTGTCAGCCAATTCCTCCAAAATAACGATTTAACCAGATCAATTCTTTACAAACAAGTTAAATATACTTGCCACATGAGTGACAAACTACCTAGATAGATACCGGGCCTCTAGTTATCCAGTCACATACCTCTGGCCCTGCCTGCAAACCTGGGTGGCCTAGCCTAGGACCATCGTTTAAAATATCAATCAAATCAATTCTAAGCTAAGTCCTTGAACATGCTTACCACTGCTGCAGAGAAGGATGTGACACTCTTCTGTGTTACATCTAGTAAACTTTCTCCTCCAGTAGGAATAGAAGGCTCTCCAGACAAAAACAAACCAAGAAAAAAAAAAAGCCTTGCCTGTTAATCCTCCCTACTCCCTCATCTCATCCCTGTTAGTCTCTCCATTTCTGCCCTCCCTTTCCACTGTGCCCACAGAAACCAATTCTATTGTTAACAAGCAGTCATTCTTATTAGGCCTCTTCCTTTTACACTGCTTCTCCACAATTCAGGAAACCTGGTTCCCCCCAAGATACTATGTAGACTTTAGTTCCTTTCTCTAGTATTTGATGATGTGCCTTCTATCATCATCCCTCAGCAGTATCTCTTCTGTAGAGTCCACTCTATTCGGCTATCACCCTATCCAGATCCCGGTGGCAATTACCAACCGGTGCCCTGAGGTCAATCTTTCTCCTTTCAAGTAGTTCCTAACTTGACTTGGTCTGCGTCTTCCTCTCAAGCCCAATCCCTTGACCTTAGAGGTCAATATCATGCTAAAGAGAGATAAACCTTCAATCTACCTCACCTACAATACAGGAATGAACATTAACTTTGATCTTATCACCCATGGGTATTCCACAACCACAACAACCCAGTGAATTTGTTCTATTGAAAAATAATCATGTTTCCTTCCATCTTTCCTTGTATCTAACCTCTTCTACAAATACCTGGGCATTACAAACAAACCCAACTCAACCTTGAGAGAACTTTCATTTGCCCCTACTATCCCCTCAAACTATTTTCCTATATTTCTTCCTTTTCACAGGAAAACTCCTAGAAAAGGTGCCTATATTCAATTATTCCTAATGAAAATTCAAAATTAAATACACTGATGTGCTTGAAAAGGTATACAAAATTTGGCCTGTTTATAGTCACTTAATAATACAACTAAAATTAGATAGTTTTATAAAATAAAGTTTTTGGAATTTTAAGCACTAATCAAGTCATTCAAAAATCACACTGATCACACATTTATACTGGTTATATGCAGGGTGTTCCAAAAGTCTTGCTGTAGCCCAAAGCTCTAACAGTTTCAAGCTAACAACTTCTAATACTCTAACAGCTTCGAACTGCACCAAGATTTTGGAACACCCTGCATACTGTACTCCCCACACTAAGGAATGGTTGTATGAGTAGTTATTTATCTTTTTTTTAACTCTTCTCACACCTAATATATATCTGCTGAATTGAGTAGTTTAGGGCCAGAAACCTTAGGCTCATTCACCATTGTGACCAACATTCAAGACCCACGGAGGTCATAAACATTCCTTCCTTCAACAAATGCTCACTCTCTTAAATATAAATTGAACTTCCAAAAAAAAAAAGTTAGAACTGAAATGTGGTCACTATCTGGGGCAAAAAAGAACTGAAGACTGTCAATCATGTACTTCCATTATGCATTCAAATACTCTGTCATTTCTACCATTTTTCTACTAACAAAGGCAGCAACTCCATCAGTGGATAACATGGAAACAGAAGAACAAAGTCAAAGCTGTGTCAAAGTCTATGGGGAAAAAATGAAGCCATTAAGAGAACCAGTCTAAAATGTTCTATTACAGGCTACCAAGGTCAAATGAAACAATGTTCTTTCAAAATAAAAACAAAATTATAGGCTGATTTATTTTAAGACACAACTTGGCATAAAGCGGTTCAATTTTGAGCCAGAAGACCAGAAGCCTAAAAATATTAATTGGAGAATACCTTGATCATCATCATCACAGCCATCTGCATCCATAGCATTTTCATCTTCATCTTCATCATCATAATTATAATTGGGATCATACGTAAGATATTTAAGACAAATATTTATAATTGTTGAAACATGGGGATAAACTTCCTTGGGACATCTATAAATAAAATTTGCCATTATATTAGAAGCAAATATTCAACTCGAACAGAACATTTTTTTTCTAGCACAATATATATATTTTTTCAAGACATGACTTAAATTCTCAAGTCAATTTCCTTGTAGACTAGTGTTAACAGTGCCCAATAGTAACTTGCTTGATCTTTCTAGAGAAAGAGATTGTGTACAATCACTGTGCTGGCCAGAACACTAATCAAGTAGTTAACTGCAAAGGACCTGGCTCTGAAGCTGATTATTGAATTATACTTTCATCATTATCTATCTCTCCATTTACAGGTAAGTTCCACATAAGATCATTCTAATCTTAAGTAATAATGTATTATTTAATTTAATACTAAAAAATGATAAAAACGAGTATATCCAAAACACTTACCTTCTCACAAACGATTCAAAGGCTTGAATGCAATATTCTCTTAATTCATCGTCATCTACATTACAAAATTTTACTACCAAGGGAATTATCTTCTCGAGGTATTCACCTAACAAAGAAAATTTAATTTATTCATAAGCATGTGAAAACATTTAAAAACATACAAAATCTCAACATCAAATTCCTTACCTATTCTATGACCTGCTTGTCTACTAATAGCGGCAATACACTGTATGTAGGTCCTTGTTGTTGACATGGAATCATTTTTTGATAGCTCTGATAACAGATGCTCAATGAGATCAACAAAAACTATATTTCCACAGCTCATAACCAGGTGGCCAAGAGCAATGATAGTTCTTTTCCTCACTGCAAGCCTGGGGCTGGTCAACTGGGGGAGCAGACATGTCAAAATTGAAGGATGGAAATTAACAAGAAGTCCTCCTTGCCTTAAAACAAAACAAGAAGACAACAAATGAATTCATAACAATCAACTGCTTATGAATCAGTGAAGAATGTCTGACTTCTTCACTTTCACCCCAACCGAATCAGACCTTTAAAACAAGTTGCCAACTTGTCACCATAAATACAAAGAAGAAAGAACCAGTTATAGAGGAAGGAAATCACTGACTGTGTCTCATTCTATTCCACTATTAGATATAAACTGGAGAATGGAGCACCTTTATAATTAAAAGCGTAAAAGGTGGTAGAAGCCTCTAACCTAACACTCTCTTTACCCTAAGGAGATTTTGTTATACTCCAAACCACCCATGAAGACTATGACAGAATTGCATTACCTCCCAAATCTGCACATTTCCCTTCTTAACAATTCTAATTATTAGAAAGCTTTTCCTTTTGGTGAAGTAAAAGCTGCCTTTCTAAGTTCCGCGCTTATTTCTGTGAAGCAGCATGGTGCTGTGAAAAAGCGGTGGGTTTCAGAATCAGACCTTCAGTTCTCTTTCATCACAATCTGTATGAAGTTGGATCAGTCAATTTATCAAGGTCTGTTTCTCCAGGTATAAAATGGAACTAGAGAAGATAACCACTAAAGTTTCTTTCAGTTTAAACCTAGGATACTCCTCCACAGCCAAGTTGAACCAGTTTTCTTCATGACGTCCTTTCCAATATCTGAAAGGAACATTTGTTTGTCTTCCTACCCAATCCCTACCCTACTTCCTCTTTTCCAGACTAAAAACCTCCAGTTCTTTCAATTGTCTTCTCATGTTTCTTTCTTCCTACCTCTCTGCTTCAAGTCTAAGGCATATGAGGATGCCAAAGAACATTCTCTTTGGTGCTGCCCTCAGCTCTCTCCCCTCTCTTGGTGGTCTTATCTACTCTCACAGCTTTGATCATCATCAACATGCAAACTATATACATGAATGTCTAATATTCAGCTAGAGGAAACATTAGATTATAACAAAACCTCTGTGGTTAATTCCCTAATCTTTATCCCCATTCTCAACCTCTCCTCAGGGGTCCAGTCTCAACTGCCTGGATACACCATAAGCACCTCCAATTCAACATATCCAAACTGAACTTAGCACCTTCCCTTCTAATTACCCATCCACACAGCCCTGTCAACTAAGCTCAACATCATGGCATCATTGACTGCCCTTTCTCTTTTACCTTCACCAAATAATCAACTACCAAATATTAAGTATTCCACATCCATTCTCTCTTTTCCATTCAAACTTCAAATTCTTTAGTTCAAATTCTCATTCCCTGTCCCCTGACCTATCGTAATTAAATCTAGCTGACCCTGCCCTCTGGCTAAATCCCCGCTCCAAATCAATTCCTAACAATGTTACCTATGTGTTATTTCAAATACACTACTCTTATCAAGCTAATCTTCTATTCAAGAAACCTTCAATTGGTTCCCCACTGTCTTTATTCTGGCATTCAATGTCACCCTCTCCTTTACAAATCTGGTTTCAACCTATATTACCTAGTCACACTACTTTCCTTCACATACTCAAAGGTCAAGTCAAATTAAACTTTTTTCTCATACCTTTGCTCACCTCATTCCCAATACCTGGAATAGACTCTTTTTCATTTTTACCTCTTCTAGCATCGAGCAACTTCCTCATAATTAGGAGCTTAATCAATATCTATTAAACAGAATGATCTCTGCCTGCCTTCTTGACTTCCTTCTTTACCCTCACAAATAAAGGTGTTCATTCCCTCATTTTTTCATAACACTTTGGTTAGACCTCTTCTGTCTAGATATCTGTATTTTTTTTCAGTTATTTTTATATTTGTCACATCTCTCTTATTAGACTATAAAGGCTTCTTGGGGGCACAACTTCTTATTTCATCTTTGTGCTCTCAGTGCCCTGTACCAAATTAGCACTTTGTTGAACTGAATTGCTCCTCATATGGTTGCTATTCTCCTTACCACTACTGTCACTCTGCATCTTGTCAAGGTCCTTCTAAACTGTGGCACCCAGAACTGGACAGAAATAGATGTGTGGCTCAGTAAGGTCAGCAGCCCTCTATTCATATAACTTTAAAAAAAAGTTTTAGCTGTTTTGGCTGCCATAAACTTGAAGAGTTGGCTAAAATTGCCTAAGTCTGTGCACAAACTGTTTTCTGACCATACTTCCTTCACTGCACAGCTGCTATTTTAATCCAAATCTACAAATGTATTTATCTGTTATATTTCATCTTACTAGATATAAGCACACATTTCATCCTTATGATCCTATTCTTCCTAACTTTGGGACATTTACACAGCTGACAAGAACACTATCTGTATCTTTGTCCAAGTCACTGACTAAAGACAGTACTGAAAAAAATAGGCCCAAGGACAAAGGTCTTTGGCACTCCCGCAGAGACCTCCTTCCAGGGTGACATTCTCTCAATGATTAAGTTCTATTTGTTAATAAGATCTCCTAGACATTCTTCCCTAAGAGGCCTATTCTTTTGTCTTTGGTCTTCTCTAAAGTTAGAAATGGTGGAGGCTTAGGAGAAAAAAGCATATCCATGCAAAACTAATCATCATCAAATGAAACACAAGTATGCTTCATACAAGATAACCACTGTAGTCAAGAAAAGAGTTTTATGATGAACTTAAGATTTAGTCCAAAGAAATACTGTGTGAAGTTTTCTATGAACAATTTATTCTCGTAATCCAAAAAATTTTAAAGAATAATAGGTAGTAAAAATATGAAATATGGTTAAAGGTACATGGCATTATATACTATACACATGAGGAGCCATAATTACCTGCTCAACATATCAGCCATAATATCCAAGGCTTCTAACTGAACAGAGACATCTTCCTGCTTCGCTATAGCACTTGTAAGACGTCCTGTGATCTTTTTACAAACATTAGCTGCTAACGCAGAGCCTTGTAAAGACAAGAAAAACAGTAGCCATATTAAAATGAAAATGCATAAATGTTAAATTCAACCCAGGTCTCAGTTACTTACAGTTATTTACAATTACTTAAAATACTTTATTATAACCAATAAAGACAGTATTACAACTGAGTGGCTTACTCTAAGGAACTGAGTGAACTATTTATTCCAAGAAGGAAAAATGATCAACGAACAATTACAGTAAAACTTTTTATCAATGACAGAGATGCCAATAACATCCTGGGTAGGAGTAGCATGGTAAACAGAGAAGTATGTTTCCATATATCATAAAAGGGAAGAGGGAGAGAGATTCAGAACCATCCTACAGATTTGCAGTAACATTAACCAAAGGCAGCAAACAGAATTATCTTCTACTTGACTCCTTAGTCCTCCCCAAAGTTCCTGGACTTGAAGCTCAAAGTGATATAAAAAGCAATTTTATCAAACTGCTGGTGTAACTTCTACCCCTAATAAAGTCCAAGGAATTTTAGAATCTTTCAGAGACTACACCCAGGAAAAGATCTGCCTCTCATCTCTGAACACAATGAAACTGTGCATACCTAATCTGACCCTGATGAAATCAACACTAGCATTGCCTCTGAAAATGATAGGTCAATGGACTCCCCAGTGTTCCCTCCATCATCCCAGTGATTTCGGGACCATTTAGCTACTGATCCCCTACATGTCTACGTGTGTTGTTTCTCCATATTACAATGTAAACTCCTTACAAACAGGACCTATCTCATTTTCATATTTGCATCCTATACATTTGGCACACAGTAAGCACTTAATAAATGCCTTTTCATTCATTCCATCTTGCTCTTTAAAAGAAAACAGAAATGATCCACTGTCAACAAAGTGTCACATGATTTTAAAAGATTTTTTTTAAATTGGCTTAGCATTACTGACTTTATTACAAAAAGACTAATTCCCAGCAGATTACTTACTTAAGGTGTCACTATAACTGAAAAGCAGGCAATTCTTTACAATAAACAAACAGAAAGAATTACCAATAGATGACACCTGACTAGCCAAATTGGTTATTTTTTATAGAAAAGTCTACACAGAACTAAGAACCCACAAAAAGTTTCAAGGGGAGGGAAAGCTAGGAGAAAAAATATATCTAACATAATATAAAACAATAATTTCTGGCTATCAACAGGATGCTTTTATCTCCTCAAAATAATGTCCTTAATCCAAATTTCTCAATGGAATAGGTTCAATAAGCTGAGACAGTAACTTTTACCATATTGATTTTTGCAAATAAGAGCTATCAATATCACTAAGGTTCCAAAAGTTGCAATGCTACCTAATGTTCTTCAAAAGACTAGAAATTGACTAGATCCATTAAGTACAATTGCTTAGTCCTTAATTCCAAGGCCAGATTTTTCAGCAAAGGCTCTATTTTAATTATAGCTATTAATAAATGAAACAATGCTTGTTTTTCTCAGGTCTATAAATTTTTAAAATCTAACATTTCTAAGCTCCACAAAAGCAGTTTAATGTTCTACTACTAATAAACTATTAGTTCCAATCAAGGCAGAAGTCTCCCCTTATACAATTAACACTGGTAACAGAAAGCTAAATAATACTTATGTTTATTAAATTTTTCTTCCATTAATATTGAAGTCAGCTTAAGTTTAGTCTTACTAAAAATTAAATCCTGGCCAAACGCAAAATCAAGATCACAAATCCTATTAAACTAGTATTTAAAGACCATATTCAGTAAAAATTGTTTATATCTGCAAAAGTAAAAATCACCAAGAAATCCTATGATGGTTAAACAAACACTAAAAATTGCTAAACAAATTTCAACATTTTATTTATTCAAAGGAATACTCAAAGAGAACAACTACAAATAAAAGCAATCAGAAAAGAAAAGAGACTATTTTTCTTACCACTGGAAGCAGGAGGAAGTTCTCCAATTACTGTTTTAAGGCCAATGCTCGATATATCTCGTAGCTGTTCCTTATCAGAGAGCATATTAGTACACAGAGTATCTACAATTGTCTCCACTTGGTATTCTTTCACTTTACTCACCAAAGGGCCAAGACTGTAATGTTGGGAGGGGAGAAAAGATTAAAAAAAAACTACTAGTAAACCAAACTAGAAAAAAAATCATGAAATATATAGAACTTTAAATATGTAATGTTCAAATATCAACATATTTGTGACTTTTTCCTTTCCTAAGAATAAAATTTTACTTACATGTAATAAGTAAATCTAACAGCAATATTGTAAAATAAAATAAAAAATAAAAAAAATAATATTGATAAAAAGAGGCAGGGTGGTATAGGGAATATAGAGTTGACCTCAAAGTCAAGAAGACCTGGTTCAGGTCTTAGCTCTGACACACACTGGCTTTGTGACTGGGCAAGTCACTTAATCTATCAGTGCTCCAGATAACTCTAAGAATAAATCGCAGAAAAGATGTATTGGTAGAGAAGTTTTTCACTTGAAAGGTTCCTATACAGATGAAATCATATGTCCAGACCAAAATATTTAATACGTAATATACACACGTGTGTACGTGAGCATATACATCCACATTTTCATTACAATACTGACTTTGAAAATCATGTTACTGGACCATACATTGATGGATTGCTGTATTTCATGTTAATTCCCATATAATCGCATATTTTAAATATGTTGTGCTACCTGTAGCAATCCATTTTTAAAGAAAATATCAGTGCATGATAATTGAAAGGTCTAACAAAAACTTACTTTGTAAGAGCCTACAGGTATAACTTTAACAATGGAATGTGTTCTAGCAAAGTTAACTTTTTAAAGCAAATCTTACTTTTCCCTAGTGAATCAGTTATAAAATTCAAGATGCCTTCTCAGAGGGAAAAAAAAAAGCAGGGGGAGAAAAACTGACAGACTACACCAAAGATTTTGTTTTACTAAAAAAGATGCTAACATGGTTTTGCCATAACACACCAAACTTTTAACTTCCCATCCCCCCCATCACCAACCACCTAACAGTGTTCTCATTGGTCTAAGGATTATCAATACACTTACGAAATATCTGTTTTAATTCCTGCGATGCTCAGAACTTTGGGTTTTACAAAAGCTAATACAACTGACTTCAGTAATTATCTAACATATACTCTCATAGTGCTAGACACTATGGGGTATATAAAATAAGTATCAGACTAACAGCCCCCTTGATTTCAAAGAGAGAATGACATTACATATATAAAACAAGAAAAAAACCTGAATACTAAACTACTAAATATAATCTATGACACCACATAAATTTTTTAAAGGCAGAAAATCACCAAGACCTGGATAGTCAGAAAAGTCTATTTTAACAGTGTTATGAGACCCAAAGATTATACTTGGATTTCAGCTAAGTAAAATTTCTCAGGATACCCTCATGGATAGTTGTGGGCTAGATGATAGCATAGTTAAAAGTATCATTGGCCTCTGTCCATGGCCATTTAATATTCAACATTTTTAATAAGAAAAAAGGTATAGATGGCATACTGATCAATTTTGAAGAAGACACAAATCTGAGAGGGACAGCTAATATACTGCATAGCAGACAAAATCCAAAAACTGCAAAAGAAGCAAAGAATGGACCAAAAGATGAAGGTTTGTAGAAATGAATGTGAACCCCTACACTTTGTTACCCCCACCCCAAAAAAAGCTACTAATAAATACAGGGGCATTGTTAAACAGCTCACGTTTTTTAAAAAGTGTGTGTGTGTGTGTGTGTGTGTGTGTGTGTGTGTGTGTGTGTGGTGTGGGGTCCTTAGTTGCCAGTTCAATGTGTTAACAATGCAATTACTGGCAGCCAAAAAAAGCTGATTAATTCTAAGAGTAAAAGGGAGTGGGCTGGGGAAATCTATGACAAATCAACAACCGAAGATCACTTATACTGGTTATGTTGTATTAGGAATGCCTTCCAGAGACCAAAGGGTCTCTGGGGTCTCACTCAACTCAAATCCCTTGAGTCCACAGTGAGATCTTTACAGTCTAGGTAAGTCTATAATGTAGCACACACACACACTGAAAAGTATTAATGACTGTAGATTCTTCTTTGGAAGTTTGTAAAAAGACAAAAGATTCACATCTGAAAAGATCTGGTGACAGTTACACTAAAAGGCATAGATCATTCAAGGTCCTCCTAGCACTATTAATTTTATATTTTATATTTATATTTAAGTTTTATATTTCCCAAATACTAATGAACTTTCAAGAAATTTTAATATAATGATTATCCATGTTATTTGTAATAAAATCAATGCTTATAACTTGTTGGTCATCATCTTAATGATTAGATTCTATATAGCATTAAATAACCTAAAATCTCAAAGAAAAGCTATTGAACAGATCACATTGATAATTCAAAGCTATTTAAAACAAAAGCAAATTTAATTACTCTGATGTTACACGTTAATAAACATGAAAACCAATCTCTGATTTAAAAATTAACTTAAAAGATGATACTGCTTAAGAACAGTGTCATTCTTTTCTTGAACAGAACTGCTTACAAAGCTTAGTTAACTGAAATGAATACTAAAATCAATAAAGATGTAAGAAGACAGATTTAACTTATTCTACTACCTCTGTAACATTAACACCATGGGGATATATAACATCATCATTTTGTACTGGATGCATAGAAATTCATTTCATAAGGCCTCCTTTCTTTTTGTTTTTATTTTTCATTTAATCTATTTCCCCCAATTACATGTAAAAAACCAATTTTTAACATTAATTTTTTAAAATTCTAAGTTTCAAATTCTCTTCAAAAAATTCAATTCTCCATAATTTACCATGAACCTGGATCTAAAGAGTAAGTGTTCCTGTAAAAGATGCCAATGTCTTCATAACTCCTGAACAGCAGTGATCACAATACAGTTTCTTGTACCAACAGTGACCACAAGCTTGTGAAGTTTAGTCAACTCCCAACTTTTTTAGTCATGTAGACCTTTTGTAAAAAGTTAAGCATGCATCCCCAGAATGTCGGATCTTTTTCAATAAAAGCCTAATCTTCAGCCGAAATAGAAGCAATAAAATATTTAATTTAGAATTAAAGAATATCAGAAGAATTTGTTTACTCATTTTACAGTTAAGGAAACAGGCCTGTGTGGTCAAAATGCTTCTGTTCAACCCTTTAAAAGATTACAAAAATTTTAAATATGAGCTGTAAAAATGTTCTTGAATAAAATGTTTAAGAAAAGTGTATTTATGTTATTCCTAACTAGGCTTGATTCTTCCAAAATGATTTCTAAAAACCATGCAATAAAAGATTGATGAAAACTATTTACAGTATCAGAACAGCAAAATTTTTAATAAGGTAAAGACAAACAGGGAAGACCAAGTTGCCATTTATGCCTCCAGGAAGGGAAGTATATTTCTCTAAAAATAAAGAAATAAAATGAAAATAGTAACGTAAAAGATAGAATTGTGTAGTAAGCCAATCGAAAACAGAAACATCAGGAATGACAGCACCACTAGTTCTGGACTTATCCAGACCACAAAACAAATATGCAATGCTGAAAATGAATTTTCAAACATCACAGACAACAGAACTATTTAAGTGTTCAGCCCAGGACTGCAGTCTGACATTCTGCCAAGCACATCCAACAGGTTCAATAGTGAGAAAACTTTTGCATAACAAAGCATGCACTCTCTCTTTTTCCCTACACTTCACATTCTTCTATCTTCTATGGAATACTAAAAAAGAATATATTTGGAAATATGCCAGCTCCAGAAATCAGGAAAGAAAAATAGGAAAAGAAAAGGTTATTTTTAATTAGGCAAAACAGTTGAGGAGTCCCGAAAAATGAATACAAGAAATTGGTGATAACAGGAGCCCCAAAATTGGATTCACTAAACAATTTCAAATGAAAAAATTTAATTCAAAAAGTTCATGTTACTTCACGTTATGCTTGACACTCTCTCCACAAAATATTGTGTATGTGTCTTACTATAAAATGCCCTACCTCTCAAATTGTACCAACTCAGGTAAGCTAGTCTGACAGTATTTCAAAAACAAAACCATCAAAGAGTAATGTAGTCATTTGAATAAACTATGCTTTAAATTTATTACACAATTAATAATAACATGTATTAAATTCTCTCTCTCCCTTCCTCCTCTCCGGCCTCCAAAAAAAGCTCCCCATAGGTTCAATCTTCTCAGAAATGATATCACTGGCCAAAAAAAAATTCAGGCCATTTGCCTGAGGTTACACAGTTAATAAATAAAAGAACTCTAACTAAAACTTAGGTCTAACCTGCCGTTCACTGACTTTTTCAAGTTAACAGACCCCTTTTAGATACTTCTAGGAGTTGTCTTCCTACCTTCCAATTATTATTTTAAGAAACATCAAATATATGTTCAATTGAAAACTGATGAACCAAGTTACCACATACATAGAATCAAAATAAAAAATTATTAGTTCATTGTCAGGTATCCTTAGTAAGAAACTTGTTTAACAAATAAAATATTGGAATAGCTTCTGTGTGATAAATTACTTGTCAGTAATTACACAACACCTGTTTATGGGGGAAAACGGAGAGAAAATGAATAAACTTACCATTTGACGGCTAAGTTTTGTACCTCTCCATTTTTATCTTCCAGTAATTTCAAAATCATTTTCACTACTTTTCTTTCACTGTCATCATCCAACTTGATAGAATCTTTTTGTAGTTCTGTCATCAAATCATTTGTTGCCATAAACCTATTAAAAAATAAATCCAACTGTTATAACAACACAGATATAACACAATAATTTAATCTAACCAAAAAAGCCTCTGTAATTTTTATTTTGTTTAAAAAAAGACAGTTTTTAAATAAGCATATTATTGTCATTTCTGAACAGATCAGTAAAATGTTTCATGTGTTAACATCACACAATCAAGCCATGGCAGAAGACATCTACTTTTTTTAAAAAGGCAAATCTCCACTAATTAAGTGAAGTGGATCTCGCCCTTCCAAGTTACTGCCAAAACCTACAAAGGCTTCCATTTAATTACATGTGCTGTGGTCAAGAGCCTCAAAGACACATACAAGTCTTAAACATAAAATAAACCTATTTTAACATTTAATAATAAATCTTTATACTTTTCATGTAACTTTATAAAACAACCGTAACACTATTACTACTAATGATAGATGAGCTTATTTTTATATCAAAATTTCTCAAAACATGGTATTATTGACTGCTACTCATAATAATTTTTCAACCAGAGATCAATGTTTTGTCATTCTAAAGCAAAAAATAAAACAAATTATAAAACAACCCTTTCTTGCAAGATGTTACAAATGACAGTCAAATTTATATTGGTTTATCTAATAACCAAGTCCTTATTCACACTCAAGACAAAACATAATATTTTCAGGTTCAAATATTTATTTCACATTATGGCGACAAGTCTGTTTTAACCATTCCTGTTTACATGGAGAAAGATTCAAACACGTTATATTTATTTGTTCATGGCATATATGTTCCTTATTCATTAACATTTAGAAACATCAAGGTCTTTTAAAATAAAATGTAAACTGCTGCAATTAAGTGATAGATAAGCAGGTTTTTCATTTGGAGGGCAGCTTTTTAAAAATAGGAACATATACAAATATTATTTTGTAAATTATCCATAGCTAAAATGTTGTTTTATATCCTTCTGGATCAAACCATAAAACCTGAGGATCTTAATTTTAAGTATGTAGTTTAAAAAATATGAACCAAATACTATATTTTCAGGAGTAAATTTATGTCGTTATCTAAGATGAAACAAATTCATTTTAACCTTAAGAAAATTGGCAATTGCTTCTTTTAGCTCAAATTGCCTTCAGGATGTTTTGACACAAGCAAGTCTAAGGGTTGCAATAATTTCACTGCGTTTTAATTTGCCTCCAGATCATACAGTTTTTGCCAAGAGACTTCCTTTTAAAAAACAAAGTTGATTACTTCAAGAGCCTGAAAAAAACTGCCTACTTTCTCATTCATATTTCTCCATAAGTATGATTTGTGAAGCACGCAAATTGCATGAGGGGGTCCACATTTTTAGCTAGTGCTTGAAAATCTACATTTTGTCCTACTGTCAATTGAGCTGTTGCAGAAGTCTAATAGAATTTCCTACATTAACTTTCTCTTGATGTAATATATTGCAAAGTAACAGTTTTCCTAACATTAGTTTCAACATATTGTACACATATAATCAAATGAGTATTTTTTCCCAAAGATTTTAGTTTCTCAACTGATCACAAGTCTATAGATATGAGCCCCACCATATCATCTGCAAATGGAACCAAAGCTGCTTTGCGTATGCCTTTATAAGCATCGTTTCTACGCTATCAATAAATAGCCAGTTACAGGTAGGACCACAGTTTCTCCTACTAAATGAGGCTTTTTCTACTGAGCAATTCTTTAAGTAACTCACACAATGAAAACAATCTTTTTGTTACAGGTAGGATTTCTGGAAAAAAAAATATGTATGAAGGCACTTAGTTTTCTCTGGATAAATACTCATATTGCTAAATATTCTGAACACACATTTTTAAGATGTCATTTCAAAGTTAGAATTCGTGTGAACTGCAGCTAAAGCAATCATATGGACAAAGCAAATAATGATCTGTCCTCTTCATGAATAACAGTACTTGTGAATCCCAATCATGCAAACAGTGGATGGTATTTCTTAGATCTGGGCTTTTATTTTCCGATTCTGTAATACTGCTACTTAAATGTTCCTAGTCTTTGCTTGCGTCAACTGCTTGAGTGGATTTCCTCTTCACACTGGTTATGTATTCATCCATCACAAACATTATTTCGTTTACAAGAAATGTAAAACAAATTTAAAACCTGAGATTTTCAAAATTATTACCTATAACCACTGCATTTCAATTTTTTTTTAAAGCTGCAGGCTTTTTTAAAAATCAGTTTATTATATTTACCAACATATTGACATATTTTGACTGGGTGATTCAGGAGATTTTAATTTCCCTATTCAGAGGAAAGAGGTGGCTAAAATCCAACACCAGAGTGACAGGTGTGTGAGTGAAGAGCAAACACACTCAAGAGATGTTGTAAATATAGAAACTACAAAATTTGATAACATACTGGTTACGTGTAGTGAGAGTAAGGTGTAACAGTAAGGCCGTGAGACTGGGTAACTAGAAAGATAGTGCTACTCAACAATAACATGGAAGTTGGGAAGAGGAGAAATATAATAGAGCGGATGAATCTGAAGAAGTTGTACTGGAAAGTATCCACAAATTTTGGTTTGAATTCAGTATTTAGATATTTTTAATTGAATTATAAAGTCCAAACATAATATAGCAAGCACAAGAAAAGTCCAAGATGCTAACTCTTAAAACAATCTACATACAGATTACACGATCCACAGGTCACTGCTATGGCCATTAAAAATGTCCTTGTATGCCCATCAATTGGGGAATGGCTGAACAAGTTGTGATATATAATCATGACAGAATATCACTGAGCTGTAAGAAATGAAAAGCAGGGGGCAGCTAGGTGGCACAGTGGATAGAGCACTGGCCCTGAAGTCAGAAAGACCTGAGTTCAAATTCAGCTTCAAACACATAACACTCACTTAGCTGTGTCACTCTGGGCAAGTCACTTAACCCCAATTGCCTCACCAAAACAAAAGAAAACAAACCTTTAAAAAAAAAAAAAGAAATGACAAGCAAAACCATTTCAGAAAAATCTAGGAAGACTTAAATGAACTCATACAAAGTGAAGTGAGCAGAACCAGAAGAACACTGTACATAATAACAGCAGTACTGTACATTGATCAACTGAATAACTAAGCTATTCTCAGAAATACAATGATACAAGGCAATTCAAAATTTTTCATTCATGATGAAAAATGTTTTCCACCCTCCAGAAAAAGAACTGATGGAGTTTGAATGCAGTTCAAATATACCTTTTTTTGGTCTATTTTCTTTCTCAAAATGGCTAATAAGGAAATACGTTTTGCATGACTACACATGTATAATCTATATCAAATTGCTTACCTTCTCAAGGAGGGAAGGGAGAGAGAGAACTCAAATTTTTAAAAAATGAATGTTAAAAAGTGTTTTTACATGTAATTGGAAAAAATATTTTTAAAAGTTATTTTAATGTTCTTGTTGTCAGAAGGCTTAGGAACCTTTTTCCAATAACAAACCAGTGATATACTCTGAACCATTAACTTCTTTTAAGAAAGTTATACCACCATGAAATGATCCAACCATTTTGGAGAACAATTTGGAACTATGCCCAAAGGGCTACAAAAATGTGCATACCCTTTGGTCCAGCAATAGCACTTCTAGGGCTATATCCCAAAGAGATCAAACAAATGGGAAAAGGACCCATATGTACAAAAATATTCATAGCAGCTCTTTTTGCGGTGGCAAGGAATTGGAAATTGAGGGGATGCCCATCAATTGGGGAATGGCTGAGCAAGCTGTGGTATATGAATGGAATGGAATACTGTTGTGCTATAAGAAATGATGAACAGGCTGACTTCAGAAAAACCTGGAAAGACTTATATGGTCTGATGCTGAGTGAAGTGAGCAGGACCAAGAGGACTTTGTACACAATAACAGCCACATTATGCGATGACTAATATTGTTAAACTGAACCCTCCTCAGCATTACAAGGATCTAAGACACCTCCAGAGGCTTCGGATGGAAAATGCCATCCACATCTAAAGAAAGAACTATGGAAGTCAAATCGCTATCACTTATTTTTACCTTCTGTTGAGTTTTGTTTCATCTTTCTGATGGTTCCTCCTATTGGTTTTAATTTTTACTTACCAACTTCACTAATGTGAAAATATGTTTAATGGGAATATAAGTGTAAAGCCTATATCAGATTGTGCGCCATCTTGGGGAGGGTGGGGGAAGAAAAATTTTCAACTCAAAAGCATATGGAAATTATTGTTGATAAATCAAAATAAATTAACAAAAATTTTTTTAAAAAGGGGAAAAAAAGTTATACCACCAGCCCAAAAGCTACCCTAGAAGAAGAAATGCAAGTTGAACAAAGGTACTCTTGAAACAGGGATACAGATATGATGTTTCTTCTATTACCTTGTAAGTTTTTCCCTCCTCAATACGTTATATGCACAAACCTCAAAATCCTCATTTCTTCTTCTTTCCCTCAAAAAAAAAATCAATTCTATTTCAGCTATTCTCAAAAGTATACACTAGTTCTTTTCAACCTCCTCATCTGTCTCTTCTAACATTCATCCAATTACCTCAGGAAACCTTCTCCCTCCCTGCACTTAATCTGTGAGGCGAAACACAATCCTAATCATGGTTGATAAGCCCTAAGCATAGTAGTGCTAGCAATATGCCTATGAAGGAAAAAGAAAGTCATAAATCACCACAAGTCTCATTTGTCAAATCAAACAACGAGCATTTGCTAAGATCTTGCTATGAACAGGGTACTCTGCTAAGCACTTACAGAAATGACTTTTTTTTAAAAGTCCCTGCCCTCAAAGAGTTTATATTTTAATAAAAGATAGAACATATAAATAAATTAGTATATAGATAATGCAGGGCAGGTAAAAGACAGCTTTTGATAGGTGCAGGCACTATCAAGCAGGGGGAGGAAAGGGTTCCTGCAAGAGGTAGTGTCTGAACTGGGGCTTAAAAGAAGCCAAGAGATTCTGAAAGTTGGAGGTTAACAGGAGAGCATTCTAGGCACAGGAGAGAGCCAGTACAAAGACATGG